CTTCTTTGCGAGAAAAGAGGACGAGGAAGCAAGAGAAAATGTAATCTCGCAAGCACATGGTGTGGCCAAATCTGCATTCTCTGACAATAATTTTGTAAATATCATTTACAATAAATTACAAAGCTATTGAAGTGCATTGCTTTTCCCTAGGTCTGTGGGTTGCACAGCTGCCACTGCTACTGCTGTTGCTCTGCGGGCAAACAAGCATCTGTGGTGCAATTTATCAAGTTGTGCTGTTATTAAAGTGGCATTATTTGTACTTTCATATAACCCATCAATACCTGTTTAATACCTTGCCTGTCAGATCTGTTTACTCGCCAGCTATGTGCACGGCCATCGCATTCATTCTCTATTAACTCGCTGCATACTTATTTTTTATGCACTTCTGCTACTCCCTCTGCAGCAAATTCAATTTACCATTGACAGTTCAGTTTGATTGATGGGAATTTGTAATAAGAAGCAAAGTCTATTGCTCTCTTTTCTCTGTACGAGGTGGTTCGGCAAACGTTTCAATTAGTAATTTTAATCAGGCACAAATTGAAGAGCAGCCTGTCTTGGGAAATAATTTGCTTCAAATGAGCAAAATGCACACGCAATTTGTGTAAAATATTCTTTGTTGGCTTTCAATATTATGCGTTTGTTTTTGTTTGCACGCGGAAATTGAGCGGGCGGTTCTATTTAGGTCACACAAACAAACAAACAAACAAATAAACAAACAACCAAATTGAGTGAAATCTATGTCAGCTAATGGCAAATAGTGGGCGGTAGGCGGTACGAGTACGTGCACATATAAATTTTTGGCAAATATCAAAGATTGTTTTTATTGCCTGATGATATTAGCATTTGATATATTTGCATGCAATGCCATCAACTTTTTGTGGTTATTTGTTTGTGGCTCATTGCACGAGAATGACTTTCGATTGACAGTTTTGCAAATAGTCCACAATTCGAATATTTTGATTCACATTGCAGCAGCAGCTCATTTACTGCACAATTGCTGTACCTCGATATTAAAGTTAAAAATGTAGCTCGAATTGCAAATGCCATCGACTTATAATGCACGCATATGTCACCAAAACGAAATTCATTTAAGTTTCCCAAGCTTTCACATTCCACTCGCTCAGGACGTCAGTAACAAAGTTTCCACAGAAATGATTTGCACAAACAAATGCCATTTCAATTTCAAGCCATTAGTGTCGCCGTTTAAAAGTAGCTAGCTAGAGAGAAAAAAGTTTTGTTTTCACGCGTTGGTATTAAGGAAAAAGAGAGGAAAAAATATTACAAAAACCTCGCACAAAAGTATCAGCAAACTTTTTCAGTTTGTCTGCAGCACCGCAATCCCCTCAGAAGCAGCCGGCTTTGGGCAATGGGTGCGCTGATTTGTTTTTTTGCGCAGACCATTTCTCAACTTTTTCCTCTGTTTTCCAGTCTGTTTGTTTGCACAAGAAAAATTAAAGGAAAATAACAGCAGTAATGAAATAGAAATAAACGTACATTGACTTGAAATGGAAACTGTTAAAAATGTTCCCCTTTGTCAAAGTTTGAATATCAATTCTGATGGCAAACATCAATTTGGCTGCCGTTCATCGACCAGAACAAAATACATTGTTAAAAGCCTGATAGCTGTGTATTACACCAGAAAAAATTTGTGTAGCTTACCAAAAGGTTTGAAATACAAAACCACACCTAAAGATTTCATACAAATTAATATTATGCTTCTTTCTGGAATTATATTTTCTTTCAACGGTTTTGCCGATTTTTAAAACTAAAGCCGTAAAGCCTGACCCATATATATTAATAGAAGGGGTAATTGGTATATTCATATTTAACTATTTAAACACTTCTATTTATATACAAAATTGCATTTTTTTTTATAAATTACTCTCACCTGAGAGCGCCCAGTCTTTAAATAATATCATAAGGCAAAGGTTTATTGGAATATTTGAAACACTTATATTTTAAATTAAATTAATTATATTTTTTTAATACATTAGCGTCACTTTAGACCGCCTACATTTGGATCCGCCATCGCCAAAGGATTTATACGTTTTCCATCTTTAAATAATATCATGATTTCAGTGATTGGACGCTATAGAGTAGCAATATTTTTCCGTCAATCCTGTCCGATACGTAGCTATATTAAGCGGTAAACGAGCTCTGTGAAGAGTATTCATTGACTAATTAAGGATATTGATCGACTGTTTTAATTCTTTATATACACCTATACACACTATATTATAATTCAATTAAAAAGTATGGAGCTAAAAAAGAACTACAACCTTTAGCAGGTTTTCAAATATAATAACAATATAAAATTTAAGAGCATTCAAGTGTTTTGCAAAATTGTAAATAATTAAAAACCCGAGAATTTTCTGTAATGTTTTTGCTATAAATTGTTATATTTTTAATCTTCCGCGAAAATTGCCCTCAATTAGGTAACCTTTAAATTTACATAACAGAGCGCCCTGTTAGGTATGCAACGTTTTTTTTAGTTTTTCCCTGAGGTGCTTTAATTAAATTAAAATATCTATTTATGGAATAGTTTTGTGTGTGTGTTGCATACAAAAAGTTGCAAACACAAAAATATGACTAACGAGGCTTAGAAGTGCTGCCCACGCAAAACGCACGCACTGCACACATACACACACACACCAGCACACATACAATGGCTAACTAGCCAACATCAGTAACAACCGCTGCAGCAACAAAAACAACAGCAACAACGGTAAAGTGGCTAACTTAAACGTGGCATGGCTGCTGGCTTTGGCTTTTGCGTTGGCAGCAGTCGGTCATGTGGGTCAAGTGGGTCGCTTGGTCAAGTACTGTTGGTGGTCGCTCGGTGGGCGGTCGGTCTGTGTGTTCTTCGGCTGGTCCGCTGGTCGGCTGGTCGCCTGGTCTGGTTGATTTTAACTGGTTTTTAATGAAAGTTTTCAGCCGCTTTAATGCTACTTGTTGTTGCTAATTGTGTTATAAACCCACGTCCGTTCCCACCCGCCTGCCGCCCGCTCTGACACATTTCTAATGCTTCGGCTAAACCTAGCATTAAGCATTAAATCCAAAAAGTAAAAGTTTTACAAAAATGAACTTTTCATATTAAGAGCATAGCTGCCGCAATAAAAGAATGGGAATAATAGTTACATACATTCAATATGCACAATGAAAATGCGAACTAACAAATCCTGAACAAATGAGACGAACCATTTTCGTGTTTTGGCCTTGGCTTTATCTATACACTATTTTCCATTTTAATATCCACTCTATTTATTCCGTTATGTCCACCGTTCTGCATTGCTTGCAGCTGCTGTGTACTATTTCGTTTTCAGAATTTTTCTTTTGCATTGTTGTTCATTGCAAATTTCATTTTTCATAGCGCACTTTTTGCGCCACTTTTTCAGTTGATTTCCTGCCCCTGCTTCCTGATCGGAATTTTGTATTTCCGTTATGTCCATTACAGTTTAAATGCGAGTGTATGCGCGCTTTGTTATCCTCTGTACTTGACTTGACTTTCATTTATTTATGTTCTTCTGGGAAATTCCTCCAATGAGAAGAAGAAGTAGTTAAAGCTTTTTTTTTTTGTATTAAGAGTTAATATTTTGCCGGGCAGTGCATTCTAAACAAGCGTTGTTTTTGTTAACTCAAGGTTGACATCTTTTTCTGTTCAGAACTCAGATAAAGCACAGATAAAAAAACAAATTATAAGCCAAGCTAACGTATTTAGTTGATTTTTAGCTTAATTTCAGCTTCAATTCCATTTAATTGATAAATTGTTCTGGCTTAAATTAGTACTAGATAACTTTTAAGTTATTACGCTAATCATTGCACATTTATTTCCAATTATTTCCAAATTTAATTAGGTTTTATTTAACGTTGAACAATTATTAATTTTTGTTTGCTTTAATTTTTTCCTTTTTTCAATATTTTCCTTAACCTAAATTTATTATTAGTCTTAATTAATTGTTAATTACAATTTTAATTTAGTTTCATTGGACGTTTAACACTGAAATTATTAATTTTTGTTAGTTTTTTCCCCCTTTTTTAATATTTTTTCGTTATTCGTTATTTCGTCCTTTTTTCTTATTTTATATTAATAATTTTATTTTATATTTTTTGAAGTTGTTCCATGTATGTGTCCTACTACTTGAGTGTACGATTTGTATAGTTACACATAGAATTTGGGTTTTACGTCTAAAGTGCGTTTCGCTGGTAATTGTCTTGACGAGAGGCAAATATGAAGAAATGACTTATCTTATGGACATATCTTATGGAAACTAAATTCTTGATGTTCTTTTAATTTTAAAAGTTATACAACTCTTGCAACTACATATGTATGTATATCCGATCTACTATTTCATTAGATATTGCAATAGATTACGTCAACTTGAGAACAGATTCAATTTGTAGCGGTAGTGATATTTCTTTGGTAGGTCGGTTATTCCATTCAAAAACCGCAGGATAATCAAACAGACTTTGGGAAATCTATGCAAACAAAAATTTGTGTGACTTAAAACAAAACTATATCGCATTAATAAGTGTTACGCTGTTTTGCCTTTCTTATATTTTTATACATTTCGGTTGAAATTAATATTCTCTGCAACTAATCTCGCCGCAAGCATTTCACTCCATCTGCCCCTGTATTCACTTGAATTTTTGTTAGGAAGGGGGGAGGGAGGAATGCCGCAGAATTTGTAACTGCTGCAGAAGTTGTCGCTCGCCAGACGCTCACTGATTTTAATTAACATTTCTGATTTTGCGGCCTACCGCTTTGGCATAGTCTCTGTGTGTGTGCGGCTGTTTGTCTGCCTCTTTATCACCACAGGTGACACAACAAGCCTTAATGTATATGTATGTATATGTGTGTGTGCGTTGTCACTGTTTGTGGCCTAATTGAATTGCTACTTGTTTAATTAGGTGCGCAAGTTTTTGTGATTAAGTTTGTGTAGACATTTAATGCGTTAATACAAGTTAATTAAATTATTATATGCTTGCACGTTTCATTGCAGACTAATATTCGAGTGAGCGGCTTAATAAACTTTAAATAGGGTAAGTTATACGCTTCACATATCACATATAGTACAAAAACTGTTTTGGTGTGCGTTTGGCATCAGCCAAATATTATATCTTTCATATCATGTGCAGCTTTCCGGTCCCAACTCGTACTATTTCATTGCCCACAATAGTTGATTGACAGTTGTCGATGGTTCTTTATGGTTTGCGATATCATCAATCATTGCATTTAAGCTGTCTCTCATCGCAATGGTGCATATTTGACTTATGACTGCATTTCAGCGTAGTATGCTCGGCAAATATTCTTCCGGCATACTTTTGTGCGCAACCGAAACGATTTCAAAAAGCAAACATTTGGCTATGAATAAATAATAAAAATGTGCATATGGTTTGTATGTTCATGTACTTATTTTTACTTTAAAGGTTGTATATAAAATAGAGAACAGTGCACATTGATATTAAAAATTTATGACAGCTATAATGTATCAGATATTGAATTTTTCAGGTGAATTATGGCAGTATAAACAATTTATAAGCTTCAAAATATCAGAACCTATTGCTTAAATCGCAGAAGCAAAAGCCTTACAAATAAAAATATTTGCTGGGGTAAAAGTCAAGCTTTTGCTGTCGATATATCTAATCAGACATATGCTTAAGAAATGAAATTACAAGCACAGAGATGGGCATACAAAGTAGTAACGTGGCCAACAGGCAAGTTGTAGTTGTGAGACCTTTTTGTTGCTGTTGTTGTAGCTGCCACCTTACCGGCACACACACGTTCCGACAAACTCGCACGTCACAGCTCCTTCTGCCTAACTGATGAAGATAATGTTGAAAGAAATGAAGATAAAACTGCGCCAGGGAATTTCTCGCACAAACACTCGCAGATACACACACACAGACACCCACACACACCCACACAGACGCAACTGTGAAATGCTTGAAATGAATGGCATCGTGAAGCACTGGATTCCGAGCGTTCGGCAGCAGTGCCCAAGGAGCAGGAGAAATTATGAAAAGAAAATTTCACGCATATGCATAAGGAAACGAGCTAAATGAGTATGAGTGTGTGCCCGTGTGTGTATATGTGTGTCTGCTGAACTCCGTAATTAATTTGATTTCATTCATTAAAGTCAGGGAAATGTAAAGGCAGCAATGAAAAAGGACAAGACACTTTCTCGACAAGCAGTTAAATGAAATGAGAAGCAGCAGATAAAAAAAAAAATTTGCAACATTAATATTTGTATTCAAGCCGAAGCTTAAAGTCGAAAAACTGTTAGTATGTACAAATGTAGATATTGGTGCAAGTGTGTGGGTGTATGTATCTCTATTAAGCCCATTGAACAAACAGAGAAAATGCCAGCTCGTAGTAGTCGTCGGCGGCATTGTTCAGTTCCCCCTCAACGTGTCGACATTGGCAATAAAACGCTCACTTGCATTTGTATTTGTGGACTTTTGCCTCCATTTTGTCTGTGAATGCGAGCTTGTGTGTGTGTGTGTGAGCGAACGAGGTTAAGAGCTTAATGAGTGCTGAGAAGCCGTCTGTAGTTGACATATGACATTTTTATGCGATTCGAGCTACGGACAAACAAGAGTTTGCTATTAATATGTACGAGTATGTTCGTTCCCAGCCTCAAGGTAAATGCTAAGGTTTGCCTTAATTAGTGCAGGGCCGGAGGGATGTTACCCACATTGTTCTTGTTGCTGTTACTTCAGTTGAATGAGTACCAAACATGATATTTAGCCATTTGCCATTTGAATTTTTGGGTCGACATTTTTAGAGGCAAATCATTTAACAGCTATTTATAGGCGACCAGCATGGAAGTGAGTGTGAAGAAGCTTTTGATATTTTCCACCACATGGGACGTGATTTTATTGAGAATTGTACTTTGTTCGTACGATACAAACATACAGAGTTTACACCGTTTTGGTGACTTTTATTTACATAGAATTGATACCTGATCCGTCTTTGATACGAAAATATGATATTCCCTTGATTTCAAATATATCTTTCATACCATATATGACTAAAATATCAATTTATACAACATACACAAGCTCGAACCGAAGCAACTCTGACAATAATCATTGTTCCAATTAAATAGTATGATGTCGATCCAATAGTATTAAAATTTATATTACAAATAATTTCTTGGTCTGTAACGTAAACTTTAATGTTTCAATACCATTTCAGTACATTTTCGAAAATATGAATATTATGAATACTATGAATATTACGAACATTATGAATATTATGAATATTACGAAAGTTATGAAAATTATGAAAATTATGAATATTATGAATATTATGAATATTATGAATATTATGAATATTATGAATATTATGAATATTATGAATATTATGAATATTATGAATATTATGAATATTATGAATATTATGAATATTATGAATATTATGAATATTATGAATATTATGAATATTATGAATATTATGAATATTATGAATATTATGAATATTATGAATATTATGAATATTATGAATATTATGAATATTATGAATATTATGAATATTATGAATATTATGAATATTATGAATATTATGAATATTATGAATATTATGAATATTATGAATATTATGAATATTATGAATATTATGAATATTATGAATATTATAAATATTATGGATATTATGGATATTTTGTTCTAAATATAGAAGAAGGTATCCCAATTACCGACTTCCGTATTACTCTACCAATTGGTCTGCAACCTAGCGTAATATTTTCCGATCTACACAAATCGAATTGGGAATGCCACAGCACACTTGTTTTTAAAGCATTTTAGCATTTCATGTTAATTTTTTTATTTGTTTGTGATAGCAAAACGTTTTTTATTTGCTCATGAAATCTGATAACATAGTAGAATTTCTCTCACTGAAGAGTTGTTTTTTTTGATAGTTCGAATTGCCCCACTTGTCCTCAAGAGGTTAAGCTCTGCGATTATTTTGTATACGAGTATGTTTGTATGTATTCCCTGTTAGTTGAAGTTGCTTTTTGAAGCATAGAAGCGTCACATAGTCGGAAGCAAGTAAGATTTATTTGTTGCATTGTAGTTGATATTGTTGTTGTTTGACAACCATCCACTCTTTTGACAATTAGTCAAAACAAGCCAAAAAGTTATACGAGTACAATTGTTGTTGCAATGGCAACGGCAACGGCAACGTCAGCTAGCGTAACGATAGCAACAACAACATGTGTGCATAGATGTGCACTCACACACTCACTCACACACACACACACACGCACACACACTTAGTAGTGAGTGGCCGAGGGCCATTTTGTTGTGCACTTCAATGTGTCCGCTGCTCACTGTTTGGTATTGTTAACCACTCGTAGCCATTGTTTGTCTCGTTGTTGTTGATTTTGCAAGTTGATGACATTAATTGTTACACTTTTAGTTTTTTGTTCCTTGTTGGAGTTTGCGTTGTGTGTGTGTGTGCTTATTTGTTTGCCAGTCGCGCAACTTTTGTGCGCTTTTCACGCCTCGTTGCTTTACGAATTTCAGCTTACAGTTACAAATTACCGCTGCGCATGCAGATTTGGTTACCTGTGCGCCTTTTGAGCACCTCTTGCCCAACATAACATATCAATTCCGTTTACACGCTCTTGATTTATTAGGTTGACTTGCCGACAGCGTCGCTTACTTCCGCGGGCAGCGGAATAAGCTCGGTTAGGTAGTTTAGAATAGTCTGCATGGTGTGCATTTTAAAAGTTAGAACACACATTACCGGAAATACTAAGTGCTCTTCATATTTAAAAGCAGAAACGAAACATATAAATGTCAAATTAGGGAAAAAAAGATAACCAACTTCACTCAAAAAAGAAACCTAAGGCCTTTGCTCACCTGCTGAGCAACTTTGAGTGAGTAATTAACGAAAAAGGATTCTCAACGTATGCTGCTACAATTACTCGCTCTTAACTCAAGAACTCTACAAAAAAAGGACATACCCTTTCATTAAATTTTAATTAAGAACAAAGTTGTAAAAAAAGGGAAGCAACAACATGTCCTTGCGAAAGAGTGTTCATGAGTCATAAGCACATGCCGCGAACTCTACTGCCTTCAGTTAATGAAAAATATATTGAATAACTTTTACAATTAATGGCAACATTGGTGGTTGTGTGCACAAAACTACATGACAACTAATTAAGTGGCAAGCGAAAAGTCCACAAGTCAATTACACTCTGCGCACATTTCGTTGCACTTGACCAAACAAGTTGACTGACACTGACTAACAACATCAACAACAACAATATCAGCAAAATGCACAAAAACTAACAAAACACAAGCACACACACACACACACACCATATACTTACCCACTCACACACAACATCAACAAGTTCATTAAAAAAGTTAGCAAGGCGCAGACCGACAAGCGGATGTGAGTGTAGGTGGCTAGAACTCAAGCGAACGGAACGAAAGTAACGCTTCACTTGAACTTTGCGAAATTGTTTTTTTTTTAAGCACATGATATGTGTGTGCGTGTGTAGTGAATGGCTCTGTATCTTTGGAATATTTGCAACCAGAAATTACACAAACACACCCACCCGAACGTAAACGAAGCGGTCCATTTGTTTGCGGCCACATAATGGCGTTCACCATTTCAATCGACCTTTCTAAAAAAAAAACACAGCTATAAAATGTGTGATCGGCTTATGGGATCATGGAATACTCTTAGTCGAGTTATGCTGCCATTTCTTTGTAAAGGCTACATTTGTGGGGTGAAAAGGGTGTGTTTGCGGAAGGTAGAAGGATGAATGTCCGACCCCATAAAGTATACTTTATTTTATTAGTCAATCTTGGTATGTAGGCAATACGATTATTTAATTTTTATTTCCACGCCCTCCCAAAACTCCAACCTTGAATTCATCCAAATCGGTTGACTCTATAAAAAATGATACGCAGATTGTTATTAGAAAGAATTGAATCGAGCTAAGGAGTTATAAACCTTTTACTGTGTCTTACAAAACAATGTCATCCTTCATGTTCCTCCGTGGAATACATGAAAACTTTACTGC